TGCAGTATGATAAGTGATTAATGGTGTATAGGACAACAAGGAAGATCCCATGCTATACTTGCCTTAAACTTAAATCCTTCTTCTAGTCCAAACCTTCAAAGGAACTCCTTGATCAACACGTAAAGCTCACCGATCGGACATGATCATAAAGCACCACACAAGCATCCATGCAATCATACACAAAGCAAACAATTACATCTATATTAGAACATTACACGAATCATAGAAAAATAAGCAAAAGAGTTTGACATACGATTCTACGCATCGCTACGAATATACAGGCGCGAGAGGCACGCTAATCGGGGCTACGGCTTGAAAGAAACCGCTACTGAAAGATCTACTTATAAGAGAAAATATGAAACTATAAGCTTCATGTGTTTTAACTATATAAAAGCTTATATAAATTGAATTAAGCCAAATTTAGATTTGAATTACAAAACTAAAGTAAAACAAATCATGTTTTATTTATAAAATCAAGTTGCATAATATTTATTCAAATTAGAGTTTAAACCATGAAATTTTAGAAATAGTGACATGATAAACATTGTTACTAACGTGTAGATCTCGTCGTAATGAACCCAACGCAACTTGAACGGGTCAATTTAGAGCTAAAACGTAAAATATATGAATTAAACAAGATTTTCTTTAATAAAATAATAGATTAAATCTAACCTTGAATTTTAAAAGTTGAAAACATATCTAACAATAGTATGAACATGTAGACAACATAAATATGAACCTAACACAAGTTGAATGGATCAAATAGGAGTTAAAACGGAAATTTTATGGCTAAAACAAGATTAGTGGTAAAACTGTAAATAGGTGAAAACGTATTTTGGATGTAAACTGACGAAACTATGCTTTCCAAAGAAGAAAACGTAATATGTGATTGCGCTTTGGACCGCGGGTTAGAAAATAGAAAACTGGAGGGGCTCTTTAGCAAGATGGCCAGCGAAGGGGTACCGGTTGATCTGGACCATCGGATCGAGAGTGGACGGCAGGGATTAGAGGAGAGAGAGGGAAGGAGGGGCGCGGCTGGTCGTAGTAGTAAGGCCGGCGCGATGCAAGCCATGGCCGGCGATGGAGCTTCGCCGGAACAGCGATTCCGGGCGCGATTTACAAGGCAAGGGCATGAGCGGAGAGAGGGAGACACGGCGAACTTACCGCGAGACTTCCTCGGGGTCGACGGCGAGTCTTCGACATCGTGCTTACGGCGACAGCGGAGCTAGGGCACGGGGCGACGCGTGCGCCTCGGGTGAGGTAGAGCAGAGCTAGCTCGAGGCGAGGCGATGCGAGATAGTGCACGGGGTAGGAGGCACGACGTGGGCTCGCTATTTTTGGGTCGGAGGAACTTGCGGCACAAGGCAATGACGCGGGGCGGGGCAGCACGGACTCCTGGCGGCGGCGGTAGTGGAGTCCGCGTCGGTCACGGCGGGGAAGAAAGGGTAGAGAGGCTGACAGGGATGGCCCACCTGTCGACGGGAGAAGAGGCGGGGTCGGGCTGTCAGCCGGACAGAGAGGGGAAGCGCGCGGGTGCTGCTGCTGCTGAGCTGGGCTGCGGCTGCGGCCTTCGACTTGGGCCGAGAGAGTGAGGAGGGAAGAGAGAGCATTGGGCCGGCTCGGGAACGGGCCACGGGGCACGAGAAGAACAGGCCGTGTGGGCGAATTGGCGCACGGACGGAGCTGGGCCTCGGGCCTGATCGAGAGAGGAAGGAATTTTCCATTTTCCAAATCTTTTTTTCCATTTTGTTTTCAAATTCAAATCGAAATGTAAACCTGATCAAATTCGAATATTTAAAATACACTTTTTAATTCAAATAAAAATGAAAAATTTTGGTATGCTCCCAAAATAATTTTTATAACTTTTTTAAAAAAATTCTTTTATTTACAAATTTTCTTTTCTTTTATTTTAAAACCATTTTCAATTTTCTTTTTTAAAAGCATTTTGAATGTTTTCAATTTGAATCAAATCCACACAATTCAAATAAACAAATGCACCGGCATGTATGCACAAACATGTTGCTACCTTATGATAAATTTGAAATTAATGAAAAAAATTATTTTCCTATATTTTATGAGTACCAAAATTTATAAATAAATTATTTTAGCTCTATTTTAAAAGAGACAAATTTTTAGGTGTTACACTCAGTTGCTTACCTGCCTCCAGTTGCTTAACTGCCCTCTCACTTCATCGTTGTCTCTTTCTTGGTCTCTTCCACCTCCATTTTTTTTTTATGTAATAATGTTGATGTCAGATTCATCTACCTGTCCTGACCTCTTATTATGAAATCATTTAATTAAGGTAATATCTCTCTGCATCTGCAGGGAGACACTGCTGTGTGGTTTCTATTTCTTACCAATAATTTTGGATGGAAAAGTTGGATGGAGCCAGGCCACATGGCGACAGATTGGTAGTTCTTGGGACCTTGTCTAGCAACATCAGCCATGCAGACATGGACATCTAGTATCATTGATGTTAGAAAATCTTGTAAAATGGAATATAAAAGGAGGGACAAAGATGTTAGACAATTCTGCATTTACAAAGAAGTTTGCGGATAATTACGAGTTACATTTCTGGCCTATTCATTCCACAAGAAAGTACTTTCTTTCAGCAGGAATAAGTCATGTTTATTTTTCATCTATTGTAGAGTTGATTCTTATGTTAAGTTGATGTCTACTTCTACTACCTACTACGTGACACGTAGGTATAACATACAAGCATAATCTTTGTTAGAGAGGGAATACATTAAGGAAGGTTTCGTGTTCTCTTTTGAAAGGACAGCGTACCCTTTTCTGATTAGACATCTGCATTACATAACAATTGTTAATGGAAGAAAACAGCATTATGATGATTATTAATTGAGCTGGACTTGGTTCGATATGATCATCGTAAGACAATCACATCTGACGTACCACGAATTGGCTCAAACCAAAGTGCGTTCTGCATATATATGACTATCTGCTGCACAAACTTATCATTATGTTCGTTCTCCAATCATTTTGTAACTTCGATTAGCAATATGAATAAAAACATATTATCCTAAATCAAAAGAATCCTTTGTTATGACTATATTTGTAATAGTGAATCTAAGAATGTCAAACTACACAAAATTTTAGAAATCGGTTCAAAAGTTTTAAATGAATTAGAAAACCTACACGAACTTTCATTTACAATTAGAAGTAGAAATTTGATTTCGAACTATTAGTGTATACATCTTTTTCCAAAAAAAATTAGCAATGGGGTAGTAGGTCCAGCATTTACTGGGATGTTGGGGCCCATGATTGTCTAGGTAGGCATGAATGTGGATGATGCCCTACTGATGAATCACAACTCCTTCCAGGTGAAAGCATAAATGTCTTACATTTGTACTCCATTATTTTGCATTGTGTTCTGCCCCATAATTGCCCATATAAGGGATTGTTTGGATGAAGAGGCTAAAGTTGTCATATGGGGTATCGCATGAGGTGTTCGGATACTAATAAAAAAATAAATTATAGAATCTGTCAGTAATCCGTGAGACGAATTTATTAAGCCTAATTAATTCATCATTAGCATATGTTTACTATAGCACCACATTGTCAAATCATAAACTAATTAGGCTTAATAAATTTGTCTCACAAATTAATCTCAATCTGTGCATTTAGTTTCGTAATTAGTCTATATTTAATACTCCATGCATGTGTCCAAATATCTGATAGGACAGTGACTAAATTTTAGAATGTGTAACCAAAACACCCCCTAATAGGATCATAGTGTTTTTTCTATAGTTGAACTTTTTAATAATTTTCAGAACGAGGTTGATTCAGAAATTTGTTCTCTTACCTCACCTTCGTTCATGTTGCGACCAAGATTTTTCTTACTTTCTTAAGAAGGCCAAATTGGCTCATCCGATCCACTAGCATGGCTTATCTTGCCCCTACCATGACTAGGAAGGACCTGGGATTTCACTCCACTCTTTCTACATGAATGGTGTATTTGCATTTGAATTAATTTTCTAAGTAAACTTTGGCCATTAATTTCTCTTAGTACCTTCTTATCAATTGCTGTAAACTAAAACCACCTCAATACTATATTAAAAGATATGTGAAATACAAACCTGTGCTGGCTCAATCTTTTTAGACACTAAACATACATATAATTTAATTAATTGTGGACAAAAAATTTCTAGACCTTTTTTCCTTTCAAATCCCACAATGCTCTACATAAACAAACTAAGGAAGTATTCACTTCGTCCTAAATAAATTAACTTCTAGAGTTGTCCTAAGTCAAATATTTTTAAGTTTGACTAAAATTTTATACAAAATAGTACTAACATAACATATAGTATAGAAACACATTTTATGTTGTATCTAACTACCAAAAAATCTATTATAAAAATACATTTCATATCTAACAATACTAAATTTTTTTTATCATAAACATTAAGGCTCCGTTCGCTGGTCTAAATCTCGGCTGAAACTGGTTGAAAAACACTGTTTTGGCTGAATTGTTGTGAGAGAAAAACACTGTTCCGGCTGAAAAAACAAGCCAAACAAGTCGAATATGGAGTAAGCCGAACGGGCCCTTAAGTTTTTTATAAATACGGTCAAAGTCAAAGAATTGATTTAGGATGACCCTCTAGAAGTTGATTTATTTATGGACTGAACATTATATCATTATCAGACAGAATGCAGATCCAAAATACTCCATTTTATTTACTGTAACTTATTCAGATCCAAAACACTTTCCTTTTTGGCCCTGGGACCATAACTAACAGGAGTTTAATTTAGTCGAATCGAGCCTTCAGCCCTCTTCATATATGGCACACCCTCTCTTATGCTGCTCTTCTCTATCCTATAGCCTCCTAGGAGAGGAGAGAGAGAGCGCCTGAGAGGCGGTCATAACTACTCACAACTACTCTCATCTCCATTCCAAAGTCCGAACACACATATATATAGGCACTACTAGTAGTAAGAGTGCAAATGACACACACTAGGTAGTCACAAAGATTTCAGACGATATGGCTCTCGCCACCCTGGTGCTCCCCTCCTCAGGCGGCTTTACGGCCACCAAGGCTGGCACCGGCGACCAGCGCACCGACAGCCGGCGGCATGACCACCACCACCACCACGGGAGCAAGCGCAAGAAGAAGCCGCCGCCGCCATCACCGCAACCGTCGCTTCCGTCGGCGCCAAGAACCCCGCCAGGCGCACGAAGCCACCGCGTCGTCATGGCTGCGTCGTCGTCGTCGTCCAGGAAGAGCCCCATGGTCCCCGCTGCGGCGGCGGCCAAGAACAACAACCACGCCGCTCATTACCAGCAGCGCCGAGGCCACCACCAGCCGACGAAGAAGGCCGCCGCGGCGTCGTCGTCGTCCTCCTCCTGGGAGCAGGTCAAGAGCCTGCTGAGCTGCCGGAGCGCGACGGCGGCGGCGCGCGTGCACGACCCATCGGCGCCCTCGGCGCTGGCGCGGCTCCGTGGCGCCAGCGGCGCTGGGACGTGCGGCGCCTCGCTCTGCCCCATGCGCGACGTCGTCGACGCCGCCTCCTCCGCCGCGTCGTCCGCCGCCGCGTCCGCGTCCGATACGGCCCCGCTGAACCGCCGCCGCGCGCACCGCGGCGCCGGTTCGTCCTCCTCCGCTGCCTCCGGCTCCGGCAACAGCCGCCACCACTCTTCCCTGCGGGCGCGGGGCCTCTCCGGCTGCTACGAGTGCCGCGCCATCAACGTGGAGCCCATGTCCAGGTCCGTGTCCGTCCGATCCGTCCAGCTAGCTACGTACTTGCTTAATTAATTTTGTGATTGATTGATGATTAGTCAGCTTTTAAGCTGGACGATGATGATTAAGGTAATCATGATTGTGGTGATTAATGAGCAGGCGGTACCCGAGGGCGAGGGAGTTGTGCGCGTGCCCGCAGTGCGGCGAGGTGTTCACCAAGGCCGACACCATGGAGCAACACCAGGCCATTCGCCATGCAGGTATGCTAGCCTAGCCTCTCCTTCCACTGCTCTACTAGTCTACTGCTCATCCAGATTTGTTTGTTTTTTTTTCTTTTTGGTGAAATTGATTCCTCTGTTTCTGTGCATTATATGAAATTGTTGCCATCGATTTTCGTGGAATAATCTACTAGTAGTATTTTCTTTTACATATATATGTGGGTGAGTACAGTATTAGCATAGTGGGTTGAATATATACATTAATTCCCACACAGCAAGTTTATTGCAATGCATGCAACACGGGAATTTCACCCAAGAGTAAAGTAAAGTAAAGTAAAGGCGATACGTGTGGACCTTTTCTTTAACATGAAGCTTGCTAGGATTAATGCTGTTCATGCATGGGGACGAAAGACTTGGGTAGCTAGCTAGAGATCTGTGAGGTAGGCTAGTTAGTGTCGACGCCTCTGGTTAATTAATACTACGATTTGTTAATTGTTAATCATGGTTAAGTTGTTTTGCCAAGGTTACTACTACTGCTTCGGCCTGTTTGGCACAGCTCAGCTTCACTAGTCAAGCTGTTTTTTTGGAAAATAATTTCATGAGCATTTTTTTTGTGAAGCTGAGCTGTTTTGCAAAAACTATTTGACAAAGCAGTTTCACCAACAGCTTCATGCATGGATGGGAGAGAGAAATAAGGAAGAGAGTTGGGATAAGCTACTTTTTTCGGCTTCGTCCCAATTCATGTTTTTGTGAGAGAGGGAGAAAAACAGTTTTATGGGTGAAGCTGTTTTAAAAATGAGTGTTTGGTAAATAAAACAGCTCATAACAACTCATGAAACTTATGTAAGCTATGCCAAACATGCCCCGTTATCATCGTCTAAATAAATAAAACTAGTTACCACTCCAGACCACTACTACTCTACTAGTGCAAGATTAAATAGTTTATTATCAGGGTATTATATTATATAATCTCTCTTGGCACATCTATCCATGTGGGAATGGAGTGGAAGTAGAAGCAGGGGGAGGAGACAAACAGAAAGGCCACGGATCAAGATGCTGCTCTGCTCATCAAAGTTATATTATATATACATGCCATACCATACCCCGGCCGGCCTGCTTCCTTTTCATCTTTTTCTTTGTCTTTTGTGGTTTACAAGCAAGCAAGCAACAGGCACTGTGTGTTGTTGTTGTGTATTCTCCCCAAAGCATCTACACACTTGTTTATGCATGTAACTGCATCACATGAAAATAAAAAATCATCAGTTCATGGTCCAGCACAAACAAAAGTTGCTTGCATGCACAAGCACAAGGTAGTGCGTGGCAGATGAGGACATGAGGTGAGATGAGTCTCTCACTCTCAGTGCATTAATCATGCAGCTAGCCAGCAGGGTGCATGCCTTTGGGCTTGTATCAGCAGCAATAATCACATGAAAGATTGATAAAAGAGGCTAGCTCCACATGACATGACTAACAACACATATAGTCATGGGCATGCATGAATAGCTTGTGGTACAGTAGTTGACATAGTATCCATCCATGGTCACGACTGAACTGAGGTGGTGTTTAAATCTATGGAGTAAAGTTTAGAGATGTCACATAGGGTATCGTATGAGGTGTTTGGATACTAATAAAAAAATAAATTACAGAATCCTTCAGTAATTCGCGAGACGAATTTATTAAGTATAATTAATCCGTCATTAACACATGTTTACTGTAGCACCACGTTGTCAAATCATGGCCTAATTAGGCTTAAAAATTCATCTTGCAAATTAGTCGCAATCTATGTAAATAGTTATTTTTTAGTCTATATTTAATACTCCATGCATATGTCAAATATCCGATGTGATTGGGAGTAACCTTTAGGAGGAAGAATTAAACAAGGCCTGAATTTATAATGGTCGGTGTAGAGCACTGTAGGCCGCGTGCAGCAAGCTGGGAATGATGTACTAATTGAACTCATTACAAAGGGAGACACACACAGATTCAATTCATTCACAACTTTGCTTTGTTTGTCTGAAATGAATAATGAGTTGGATCATGATGAGCAAAAAAGATATATAAATAAATAAAATGAAAACAAAGATGGGGCTTGCATTGCCAGCCATGAAGAAATAGATGACAAGTAGAGTGATGACCTGCATTGCATTTGTGTAGTGTACTGTACCGCTGTACGTGCTTTTGAGATGCTTTAGGTCAAGAAAAAGACGTCCTGAATCACAGGACGAGGACAATTGAAAGCCATGCATGCATTTTTTCGCTCAAACGCCATGAATGCCATGCCATGCCTTGTCCTCCAAAGATGCCGTCCGTCCATCTCGGCACCGTACCCGTACCTGCATAGATTTCAGGGATCATTCATTGCACTCTGTCTGTCTGTCTGTCGTCCACTGTCAATGGCATGCATACAGATCGATTAGCCATTCCTAATCCTAGTAGTTTAGTAGAGTTAATGGCCATCACATGCCATGCTAACCAATCCATGCAATGCATCTGCTGCATGCTGCAGTGTCTGAGCTGGGGCCGGAGGACTCGGGGCGGAACATCGTGGGGATCATCTTCAAGTCGAGCTGGCAGAAGCGGGACCGCCGCTCCATCTGCCACATCGACCGCATCCTCAAGGTCCACAACGCGCCGCGCACCGTCGCCAGCTTCGAGGCCTACCGCGACGCCGTCCGCTCCCGCTGCCGCGCCGTCGTGGCGGCCCGGGCAGCCGCCGACGGCAACGAGCTGCTCAGGTTCCACTCCGCGCCGCTCGCGTGCGCCCTCGGCCTCAGCGGCGCCACCGCCCTCTGCTGCGCTGCTGGTGGTGGTGCCGACGACGCAACCACTTCGTCGCCCTGCGGCGTATGCACAACCATCCGGCACGGCTTCGCGCCGTGGGTGGGCGCGCACCCGCTCGGCGTGCGCACCACGGCCAGTAGCGGCCGCGCGCACGACTGCGGCTCGTCGGCTTCTTCGTCGCTGCAGCCCCACCAACCGGCGAGCGACACTGCTGCCTGCCGCGCCATGCTGGTGTGCCGGGTCATCGCCGGCCGCGTCCGCCGCGACGGCGACGGCGCCACGTCGTCCGCTGCCGAGGAGGAGGGCCCCTTCGACTCGGTGGCCGGCGAGGACGCCTCCAGCAGCAGCGTGTACGGGAACCTCGAGGAGCTCTTCGTGGCCAACCCCAGGGCCATCCTGCCCTGCTTCGTCGTCATCTACCGCGTCCTTGATTCTTGATAGCTTCAGCCAAAATACATGCATCATCACGTCACGTCGTCTAATGCATGCTTCTTCTTGATGCTAGTTCGTTCTCATATATATGTACATCTGTATCTGTAGAAACGAATGAATGTCGACCAAGGTCATGTCGTTATTTTTCTTCTTTTTTAATTTGTTGTCAAACAACTAAATTAATACTCATATATATAAGTATGCCATATATATATATTATGTTTGTAACATTTTTGTTTCGTAGTAGCGTCGATTATATGTATATGTATACTACTCCTGCTATGCTATATGATAAAGAAGGATGAGTTGCTAGAATTAATATCACAATTTTCCGATTTCTCATTGCATTTCACTTGCACATGGACAATTCGACATGATGATGCTTTCCCATGATGGTTTGGTGTTGTTGTGATTGAGTAGCTAGTTGGCGAAGTGCTCAAGTCAACAGCTGCAGTGTACCTTCTTCTCTCCTCCTCTGCAGCTGCTGGCCATCAACTGTACTACTACTGTTGGTTCATGCATGCATGATCAGGATCAGGATCAGGTGACTAGCCAGTTTCAGATCTATCCACAGACAGGCAGAATCTCACTGGCCTCTTTGGAAAGTGCTGATGTTGATGTGGCTGGTTTTGTTGCTCAGATCCATCCACGAGCTGATCAACCATGCACATGTGTGCTGGATCTCAAGAAAAATCTGTTAGATAATCTACTGCTTCCTTGTGTGAGCACATAGCAAGGGAATGTGGCACCGAAAAGGCCCTCTGTTGTAGTATTGTAGCCGCTGTAGAGGCAGACGCCGAACGGCTCACCTGCCGGACTGTAGCCATATGCAGGGATAGACGCAGAAGTCAGTCCTGTTGTGTTATCTAGTCACTGTTACAGCAGGGCAGCTGTACTAGGATTAGATAGATAGAGTTGTATATATAGTTTGCCACGGCAACTCAACAAAGAGAGTTCAGTTTTACCATCTCCTATACAGGGCTCCGGCCAACGCTGGTGCTTATACTGTGTGTGTATGCCCTATTCTCCCTCTTCTTCTACCTCGAGCCATAGTGTGTGTGGTCGGACAGTCTCTGTCGTGCTCGACCGTGGTCGGCAAGACTGGTGAGTGGTCGTCTTACCTGAGCCGGTGATCCTGTGGGCTAACAAGTGGTATCTGAGCCGTACAAGCGCCATCGCTGGACTAACCGCTGGCGATGACGAACGGTTCGGAGATGGACGACAGCAGTGGCATTGCTGTGGCTGCCCAGCCACGATCGAAGGTCGTTGTTCGCACGGTGCGGGAGGTCAGCGGCACCAGTTGGCCGACGCTGACTCGCACCAACTATGGAGAGTGGTCAGTGACCATGAAAGTCAAGCTCAGAGCCCGATGGCTCTGGAATGCTGTTGACAAAGGCACTGACAATGAAGAAGATGACATGTCAGCGTTGGAGGCTATCCTCATTGCTGTACCGGTGGAGTACAGGGAGCCGTTGGGGGCGAAGAGCTCTGCTAAGGAGGCGTGGGAGGCTATTGCGGCGATGCGCGTCGGTTTCGACCGCGCAAAGAAGGCGACGGCCTAGCTTGTGAAGTAGGAGTACGCCAACCTCAAGTTCAAGGATGGTGAAACAGTGGAGGATTTCTCCCTCCGCCTACAGACGCTCATCAGCAAGCTGAAGAGCCACGGCATCACCATCGACGAAGAGGAGGCGGTCTCCAAGTATCTCCACTCTGTACCGACAAAGTACATCCAGATCGCTCTCTCCATAGAGACAATGCTGGACTTGTCCACCCTCACCATTGAGGATGTGATAGGCCGTCTGCGGGCGGTGGATGAGCACCTAGAGCAGACGACAACAACGAAGAACACCGGCAAACTGCTGCTGACAGAGGAGGAGTGGGCTGCTCGGAGGAACTCTAGGAAGGTAGCCTCCTCCAGTCGTGGTGGCGATGGCAAGCGCCGCGGCAAGGCTTCTTCAGAGAAGAAGAAGCATGTCGACCCCAATGCCTGCCGGCGCTACGGGAAGACGGGCCATTAGGCACGGTAGTGCCCAAATCGCAAATAGGAGAAGAAGGCTGAGGCTCATCTGGCGCAAGCTGATGATGATGATGAGGCCACTATCCTGATAGCGATGTTCTGTGCACTACAAGACATCGAGGCCGAGGAGAAGGAAGAGGCGACAACAGTGGAAGGACCTGGGAAGGCCCTGAAGGCTATCAACCTCGACGAACCACGCGCCCAAGTCCACCTCGGACGTGTGGGCGCCGACCAGGAGCAGCGGTGGCATCTGGACTCTGGTGCTAGCAACCACATGACGGGCTCCAAGGAAGCCTTCTCTGAGCTCGATGACGATGTTACCGGTACGGTGAAGTTTGGTGATGGCTCAAGGATGGTAATCTAAGGGCGTGACACCATCATCTTCAGGTGGCAGAATGGGGAGCACCACGCACTAACGGATGTATATTACATCCCGCAGCTGCGTTCCAGCATTATCAGCATTGGTCAGCTGGATGAGCGCGGTAGCGAGGTACTGATCAAGGACGGAGTCTTTAGGATCAGGGACCGGGAGCAGTGACTTTTTGCCAAGGTGAAGAGGTCCCAGAACCGGTTGTACCTGCTCGACCTGAAGGTAGAGCAACCGGTGTGCCTGGCGGCAAGGCACACCGAGGAGCCGTGGCTGTGGCATGCCCGGTTCGGACATCTCAGCTTTGACGCGCTTGGTCGGCTGGCGAAGATGGTCCGAGGGCTACCCCACATCAAGCACGGAGGCGAGCTGTGTGATAGATGCCTGGCCAGGAAGCAAAGGAGGCTACCCTTCCCAAAGGCGGCCAAGTATCGCGTGAAGGACACTCTCGAGCTAGTCCATGGCGACCTCTGCGAGCCGATCACGCTAGGTACAAATGGTGGTTGGCGGTACTTCCTCCTCCTCATGGATGATTGCAGTCGCTACATGTGGCTGCAACTCCTGACGAGCAAGGATGAAGCGGCGGCGGCAATCAAGAAGTTTAAGATGCGCGCGGAGGCCGAGAGCGGCAAGAAGCTCCGCGTGTTGAGGACTGATCGCGGTGGCGAATTCACTTCGATGGAGTTCACTGCGTACTGCATGGATCAGGGTGTGGTGGGACACCACACCGCGCCGTACTCGCCATAACAGAATGGCATGGTGGAGAGGCGGAACTAGACGGTGGTCGGCATGGCTCGATCCATGATGAAGGCCAAAGCCATGCCGGCAAGGTTCTGGGGTGAGGCGGTGACCACGGCGTTGTTCATCCTCAACCACGCTCCGACCAAGGCCCTGACGGGCAAGACGTCGTTCGAAGCTTGGTATGGGCACAAGCCGAGCATGTCCTTCCTTTGGTCATTCGGCTGCATCGGCCACATCAGGAAGACGAAGCCGATCCTCACCAAGTTGGAGGACAGGAGCACACCGATGATGTTCCTAGGCTACGCAGAGGGTACCAAGGCGTACCGGCTTTATGATCCACGCGGAAACAAGGTACTTGTCTCGCACGATGTCGTGTTCGATGAGAAGGCGGCTTGGGACTGGAGCAGTCCTAACACGGGGGATGCTGGTGGCTTCACCAGCACCTTCGTTGTTGAGCACCTGATCATCCACAGTGGTGGAGACGCTGAGAAAGAGTTGCCGAGCACTCCGCGAGGATTGTCGAGCACTCCAGCGGCAGAGCCGAGCACTCCTGGGGCAGTGCCGAGCACTTTGGGAGGGATGCCAAGCACTCAGGGAGGAGTGCCGAGCACTCCTAGAGGGATGTCGAGCATGCCAGGAGTGATGCTGGGAGGTTCTAAAGTGGTGGTGACCACTCCAGGATGGGTGCCGAGCACTCCCGTAGCGGAGCCAAGAGGTCTTGCAGTGGTGCCGAACACTCCAAGACTGAGGTTGAGCACTCCTATTGTGGTGCCGAGCACTGTAGGAGTAGTGATGAGTTGTCCAGAAGTAATGCTGAGCACTGCAACTGGGGTGCCGAGCACTCCAGGTGCTATGCCGATCACTCCGACGAAATAGGGAACTCCATAAACACTGATCGAGTTCGCTCACCTCCAAGTGACGTCGCTGAGTTCGTGGATGCCTTCCACGAAGGTGAGAAGGTGCGGTTCCGTAGGCTGGACGACATCGTTGGCGGCATAGGGTCCTCAGGACTAGATAGTCGGCTGCTCAATGACCAAGAGCTGCTGCTCATCAGTGCAGAGGAACCACCCATGTTCGCGCTGGTGGAGTGCGATGGAAACTAGCGACGGGTGATGCTGGAGGAGATGAAGGCGATCGAGGAAAACGAGACTTGGGAGCTCATCGATCCACCTCCAGGATGCCGTCCGATCAGCCTGAAGTGGGTATACAAGGTCAAGCGGAACGAGCTTGGCTCCATTGTCAAGCACAAGGCGCGCCTCATCGCCTGAGGCTTTGTTCAGCGCAAGGACATTCAACTTCGAGGAAGTCTTTGCGCCAGTAGCGTGCATGGAGTCCATTCGTTTGCTACTTGCCTTGGCAGCAGCAAAGGACTAGCGCATCCATCACTTGAACGTTAAATCGGCCTTCCTCAACGGCGAGCTGGCGGAGACGGTCTTCGTTAGGCAACCTCCAGGTTTCACCGTCAAGGGAGAGGAGCACAGGGTGCTACGACTACGCAAGGTGCTCTACGGGCTGTGGCAGGCCCCACGAGCATGGAACGCCAAGCTTGACGCCACACTGGGCGAACTTGGGTTTCAGCGGTGCACAACCGAGCACGCGCTCTACACGCGGCGATAGGGGAAGGACGACCTCGTCATCGGCGTGTATGTGGATGACTTGATCATCACTGGTGCACGCACGGAGGACATCAACAGCTTCAAGCGTGAGATGGCGGCTCGTTTTCGATTGAGTAATCTCGGCGCACTCTCCTACTACCTCAGCATCAAGGTGAGACAGGGAAGGAGGAACTCATGCTCGGTCAGAGCGTGTATGCCTCGAAGCTGTTGGAACGGAGCGGCATGGCTGAGTGCAAGCCATGCGTGACTCCGATGGAGGAGCGGC